CACATTTCTCTCTCTCATCCCATACTATAACACAAAGTACTGTATATAACATCTCATATATTATTATTATATTTAATTATCTATACTTTCGCTTATAATATATTTTTAAATAAGTTTTAATATATAAATACCATATTATCGACCCATACATCCATTTTATGAGTCTTTTCGGCCTTTTGTTTGACTATATTTTTGATGAAATAATAATAATTGCGTTTTAAAAGTATATATAAATCATTCACTTATTATAAGTATATTATATTTGCTTTGCTTTTCACTATTCAAAAGCCCTAAACTTCTCACTCACACACACTCTCCCCCTCTCTTCACGTCGACAGCAATTAAAACATATTTTAATTGATCTAATATTTAACAAAACTCGAGAATTTCACTGCAATTGCATTGTTGTCTGTGTTTTGTTACCTAAAAGTGATTTTCTAGTCATTCATTCAATTCAATCGTGTGTTTAATTAATCAGAAAAATAACAAATCATTTGTGATTTTCATTGCAAATCATAAAACTTTCACATAAAGTCTGCGGCCAATCGCCAGTACTGGTCGCTCGCCATCGCTATCGACACGACAGACATCACGACATACGCCGGGAAGAGAGCGGCCATCGAGTGGTTAATGAGAAATAATTAGTAAATTAGTATAAATCAGTAAAATCTGGTAACAGTTGTCGTGAATTGTATAACTCTATTGAGTTGTGTTGCATAGTGTTGTGCTGAGTGGTGTCGCCGCCCATAATGTTGATGGCATATGACGTCAGGCGATCGTCTTATTGTGGAGAGACTTACGCCACACTCGCAGACAATATGGCGGTTAACACGCATCAGACCAGCGCTCAGAGTGGCGTCAACGGCGTCCACGACTCGGAACTCACCGCCGCTCACAACCATCACAACAGACACCAAACCGACGGCAACCCCGACCACGACCTCAGAGACATCAAACGCACGCCAATCCATCCCTCAGGTCAGACATACCATCAGCTCATTCAACACATACACACTCCCTGTCCCCTAACCCCCGCCCCTCACACCCGCCCCCACTCTCCCCCCGACCCGACCCTATCTGTCCACTGATCGCAGTTTCGCCCACCGACTGATCTTTTGGGCTGTTTTGCCCCCTTTTGGGCTAAAAATGGTTTTTAATATTTAAATGTCCGGCTTTTTTGAGCACTGAGTTATGCGATACCAATACAAATGTCTTTGAGTTTGTTTTTGAATATAATTGTATTTTTGTGCTTAATTTGTGTTAATTTTACTTCAATTAATCTGTGCTTTGGTTGGCGTTTGAATGCCTGATAACAAGCAATATCTCTGCCGTTTTCAGCGATTTTTATCGCTCGTATGAAATAAATGAAAAGTGCTTTTTTCGCATACCTTTTAAATGGCAATTATTTTTGTCTACTTTTTCCTACAATTTTTCTCTCGTTTTTGTCCGTAAAATACTATTTTTATTATATATTTGTTTTGTGGGTATTTTTTCTGAAGACTTTTATTTAGACATTTAGTCGATTATTACCACTGCTTTACTATTACTACTATTAGTAGTATTTATATGATTTAATGTTTGTTTTGTATGGCATATAAAGTAATAAGATAGGAGTTGGGCTAATGATGATAATTTTAATACATAAATACCTAAATGCAATTAATTAACTAAATTAATAACAAACATGACTAATGCAATTGGAGTGTGTCGTCCACTGCCCGGTGCTATTGCTCAGCACATCCCATACACCACACACTCGCACACATACCTCACACCACAACCAATACTGTATTATGAACTGGATATTTGTGTTCAATAAGCAAATCAATGCAATCCATAGCTCTCTATCCCAACCCTACGATCGCATCAATTATTAGGCATATTATTTATATACCACTCTATGGTATTACGATTAGTGCTGTGTATATAATATCGACAGTAAAACTCAATAAATTTTAGTTGTAAACCAATTCTCACTATTGGTTTAATAATAGACGAAATGCGGGATTCATTAGCCATCGGTTTTTGCGTCCAATCGATTCGCTTTTGTATAAGTTTTGCTTTTTTCAGTCAATCAATAATAAAACAATACATTTATTAATGATTAGAGTCTGAGAGTAGTGTTTATAACGGATGGCATTCTTAAGGGAAGGAGTGGTGATCATAGGGTTTATGGCTATGGACTATAATAATAGTGAAGAAGTTGGTGTCAGAGACACACACGACGTGTCTCTAAGAAATGCATCCATTATTTGAGTGTTTGTTTGTTTAGTCGTCGAAATATTTTTAGCACTATTTGGCAGAAAAAATGATAAGTTGTGTATGAAGTATGAAAATAATGTCTTGTAATTTGATTACAACGACAACTAACTTCTCCGATGGTTTAGTCTGTATTATGTGTTTACAAATGATTTCTGTATGGATATGAATGGGAACACAATTTTTTGTTTTACAATGAAATGTCGTTATTTGATACCCGACTGGCAGTCGATATCACGGATGCAATATATCATCAATTTATCGATTCATTAGAAATTGAATTTGTTTTGTGTGTATTGTTTCGGTCGTATAGTTATTATCTGTAATTTAAATGAATTGTGTGTTTAATCATGGGATAAGAAATTTGTTTTTGTTTAAATATTAAATTTATTATTATTTTTGTTGTCAATCGCTTATAACGAGTGATTGGTTTGAGGCATACACTCGAGGCAGACACCAATTGTTGTGTATATTTTAATGTATTAAATATGAAATCACATTATTATTGACAATCAATTGCTATGAAATATTATATGCAAAAACGACTGTCCTATTAGTTGTTCATAACTTAAGACATTGGGAGACAGAGAATCGCGTTATTATTATTGTTATTAACAATGTATTGCTTTTTCTCCTGTCCTTGATTTTCGATGCATTTTTTATTTCTTCATTCAATTCAATAATATATAAATGCATATTACGATTGAAGTCCTCAATAGATATTAACAAACATGAATCTCTCTCTCACTCTCATTAAATCCCAATGTCTAATGGCTAAGCAATAGTTGGTGTTTTTGGTGATGAGTTATTAGCGATTTAAATAAGCAGTGAGTTGTGCCGGTGTTTTGACATAATTGCCATTTAATGCAAACAATAATGATCACAATTGACAGTCAATTGTCATTTAATATTTGCATTGGTTTTTCATAGACGCGCAGAGGATTGATGTGTGGAGTGAATAGTGAATGATGTTTATAAATGTCGGGTTTGGGTATTAATGAGAAGTAATAGTTATGTTAGTTATGGTTAATATTTAGTGGAAAAGAAAAAATAGCAGTTTTACAGCTCTAGAGGAAAATGTTGCAAATGTTGGCAGTTGTGTGTGAGTGGAGGCAAACACACACTCTCATAGGCATAGCATTACAGACATGACTTGTTTTTAGTAGGCTTTCCAAAGAGTGGTTTGCCAGAGGAGAGAGACTGCTATCTGTTTAGCCATAGCCAGAGTTAGTGTATCTGTGAATTGTGAACGTGTTGTTGAGTTGCACTAACCATATCATACATACCTCTCACTCACTATCACTCACTCGCACATCATATCATCCATTTTGCTGTCGCACCGGCGGACTGGTCATCGGCACCGGTCGCCCAAATGCTAGCATTTCTCTGAATAAATTCAATACTCAAGTAAGAGATTATGTATTGAATGAATGTATGAATGATTGCATTTTTTCAGATTCAGATGAGTGTTTGCGTTGAGTTTGTGTACGTTATCTACCCATACATATAGTGTACACTCTTCTGCATTCTCTCCAACACTAATGCTATATTCACTCCTCTATTCAGTATTACATATTATGTAATCATATAATGATTTTCTGTATGCCTTTTAACTCTCGCACAGCACTTGGCATAGCATTAGTGTAAATGTAATGTTTGTCTCCTAAGCGATAGTTTAAGAAAATTATAATTTTTGTTAGACATAACAGTGGCCTCATTGTGATCAATGCCTATAATGATTAGGTAGTGGTGGCCCAAACTTATACATGAGCTGAGGCTTCTTCACTCAAATTTATATGTGATTTGTCTGTTTGTCTAAATTCCTGATTCATTAAATATCTGACTATTCAGTGCACTTGTATTTCGTATTGCATTGCATTGTAAGCCATATTGACATTTAAATAGTCAGTCAGTCGTTCCCCCAGTGTTTCGCCATATGATATGGCATTCAGAGCCCCATATCATGGATCCAAACTGTATTATCAATTGATTTTGGGGCCCATTTGTGGCCCAATAGCCCACCACTCATCTCATTGTATTATTCCCTTACAGATGGTGTACAACAGTTCTGGTTTAGTGATCAAATGAGCTATTCTCCAACATCACCGCCAGGTAAGCCAACACACCATACTATGTACACTACTCTACCAACTATACCAACTATACCCACCCCTCCCTTCACTCTATACGCCACCATTTTTGTGGATCTATTCACTCAACTCTTAGGAGCCATTCATTTATCGGAAATACATATTCTCTCATATCTATGATATGAAGCATAAATTAGGCTCTTATGACAGGACATGACCTTCACTACAGTGTTATGACATCTAATAGTCTCTATGAAAGCGAAATCTCATTTCGTAATTACGTTAACGATTTAGCATTAAATCAGATGATAGTTACAGTGATTGCCCGAACTGTTCAATTAAAGCCATCATCTCTGGCCTCTAAATAATCAGTTTGTGTTGTTTGATATGAACGCCGGTTTAGGTGCAAGCAATGGACAAAGTTATCACTTTAAGATACTGGTGCCTGCAGTGGCCGCCGGAGCCATCATTGGTAAGGGCGGCGAAACCATAGCTCAACTACAGAAGGACACCAATGCCAGAGTGAAGATGTCGAAGGCCAACGACTTCTACCCGGGTATGCCTTAGACGGGAATTTTTATATACATTGTTTCACTCGTCGTTTGGTTACGATATTTATTTATTTGTTTATTTATTTGCCGTCAAATTAATTGTGTATTTTATGGCATATGTTATGAACGTTAGGCACAACCGAAAGGGTTTGTCTGATCTCGGGTTCGGTCGATGGCGTCCTTCGAATACATGAGTTCATAATGGAAAAGATCAAAGAGAAACCCGACCCCAACGCTAAGATTGCCATCGATTTTGATCATAAACAGCCCGCAGAACGTGAAAAACAGGTAAACACATCTTCTGACATGCATTTGATAGAAATCGGTATCGATTTAGTGGACACTAATGACCGGCAAATGGATTTGTGTATTAATGGTTTTGAATGATGTGTGTCTTTTAGGTGAAAATACTGGTTCCTAACAGTACGGCGGGAATGATAATCGGAAAGGGCGGCAGTTTTATAAAGCAAATTAAGGAGGAGTCGGGCGCATACGTGCAGATCTCCCAGAAGTCAAGAGACCACGCGTTGGCCGAGCGGTGCATAACTGTGATCGGGGAGATCGAGAACAACAAGAAGGCCTGTGCAATGATAATCGCCAAAATAGTGGAGGACCCGCAGTCGGGCTCGTGTTTGAACGTGAGCTACGCCGACGTGACGGGACCGGTGGCCAACTTCAACCCCACGGGCTCGCCGTACGCCAACGCCGGCAACTCGAGTGGCGGCAACTCCGCCGTCACTAACAGTAATCCCAGTTATAGTTCAAATGGTAGTCTGAATAGTCTGAGCCCAACGCTGACCAACTCGTTTAATAGTCCGCAGAACGCCGGCGCTCAGGGAGGACTGATGCAAGTCAATAGTTTCGGACCCGCCGTCTCATCGGGAAATCCGGCCCAAATGATCGAGAGTTTGCGACAAATGTTGCGCTCGTGTGGCTATAACGAGGACGCCGTGGCCGAGATTTGCTCCGCTATGAACACACTGGCCAACTATGGAATGCTGGGCCTCGGCTTAGGACTCGGAGGAATGTTTAATTCAGTGAATGGTGCGCCTATGATCAGTGGATTAAGTATGGGAATGACTGGTACGCCTCCCAACAACTGCGGCATTCAGATGGGAAATCCGCCACAAAGTGCAACTTTATACACATCTCAGGCCACCGGTGTTCCCGGTCTCGATCAGCAGTCCTGCAATAACGTGACTCAGACGCCGCAGGGCTCGGGTGGGAACGGCATGTTTGGTCCGGTGGGCTCTGTAGGCAGTAATATATCCACTATGAATATGGGACACGGATTTGGTTCCCCGACCGGCAATCCCCGAGGCGACAGACTTCAGATGCCTGACGGCTCGATCGGTCCATTTGATCCATTTGGTCGCTCATCGCCATCATTACGCTCTCCCGTGACGGGCGGCCCATCACAGGGACCCCCGCCTCTGCCCATCAACAACAACTCATTTGGTTTGGGAACTGGTCTTCACTCTCCCGGTTCGCTGCGCAAGAGTCCCACTCCAGGCGGCGGTGGAGACCAGTCAGACGGCGCCAACGGCGGGGCGAAGATCGAAGTGGAAATCGGGGACAACATTGTCGGTGCAATACTAGGACACGGGGGCAAGTCGTTGGTGGAGATACAGCGGCTGTCGGGCGCCAACATCCAGATCTCCAAGAAGGGTATCTTCGTGCCGGGCACTCGCAACCGCATCGTCACCATAACCGGGTCCGGACACGCCGTCCAAACGGCTCAATATCTCATTGAGCAACAGATTGGCGAAGAGGAGAACAAGAGGGCGCGACAGAACGTGACGCTCGGCACTGTTCTCCGCTAATACATGTGTGTGTATTGAGTACATTAGTGTATGTTGTCATTACAGAGACCCACTCCCACCACCACCACTACCACCCATTGTCCCCATTGCCCCCTCTCCCCCATCCCATTCCCGCACTACACATACACACCACTAATACACTACACACACGCCCACCACCTCCGCCGCCACGACATACGCCGGACAGACCATCCCCTCAGACATTATGTTAATTAATACATTACACACACAACCAGAGAGTTAAGTACTTTTTAGCCGAAGTTTATATTTACGAAATCAAATCAAATTTCAATCCGATGTTCAGATTTCTGGACGAAATACACATCTATTTGTTTTTGTTTTTATGTTTTTTATTATCATTAATGAAAACTGATCTACAGATCTGTAGTGAGAGAGTGCCTCTGCATTACATTATTAACACAATTGTCACACACAGACCACACATACAAATACACATTATATACACCACACCATAGACACCAACACTATTATAATTATTATTATATAAATTATTATTGAAACTAAAAATTGGAAAAATGATTAGTGAAAATATAGTTATAATTATTTATACAACAAATAAGATTTAAATACAAATCACTTATTATGAAGAAAAATATAATTGAAGGAAAGGGTGTTTTTTAAAAAACAATTCATTATTAGTTAATTAATTGTATATTAATTGGTATTTTAAAGACTATATTTGCTTTATGTGTGATTCAACTGCCGATTAATGGCTCAAACATACCGTTTAAGACAAACTAAATGGATATATAAAACAAAAAATCATTGTTTAATTTTTTTGTTTGTTTATCACATTTGAATTTCTCTGTCGATTACGTTAATTAATATAAAAGTTATTTACATTTACATTATTATCAAATTTATTGTCAAATTATTTTAGAAGATAAACAAAACAAATTAATTTAATATATTATTATTAATATTATTAATTATTATTATTATGGAAAACAAATTTAATGATTGATTGATAAAAACAATGAATGAAAAACTGTTAAAATCTTATGTTATAGTATTTTTGGCGCTTATTATCTATTATATAAATATATATCATAATTATAATAATATCATTAACTAATTCTGCAACAAAATTATGACAAATAACTAATGATTCGTTTGTTTTTTTTGTATCTAATGTTTGATTAATTTTTAATTAATTTAAATGCTTATAAGAAAACAATCCTAAAAATTCTTAGTCTTTCTAATTGATAACAAAGGTTTTGATTGAATACAAAAATACATTAATTTTAGGGTCGCTTTCAATACTGTGAGTGGAAAATGACACTAAAAAATACATTACATTCTCTCGACATATATATATATTTACATGAATTATGAAAAAATTAACTAAAATTTATATATTAATTAATTATATAAATATATTATTATTATAAAAACAACTAAATACTGATAATTGAGAACAATTTAAAATATATTGATATATAAGTTATATTATAAACTATTGATTATGATTTTTTTCTGGGTATATATACGTTACTGTGATATCCGTCAAAACATTTTATGTTTGTTTGATTTTTTGCTAACATTTCAATCATTTTTAATTTTGGAGTGAAGGGAATGAATGATATTTCGATGAATAACATTAATAACGAACTTATTATTATAAAAAACACAATTTGTTTGACTAATTATTTTATTTAATCGCGTCCTCCGCTTACCGTCTCGTTTCTATGCAATCACTGCTCTCTCTCTCTCTCTCTCTCTCTCTCTCTCTCCTTAATTTTAAATTTAATGTGTTTTGAGACAACTTTCTCCGACATCTTCCTCGCTATCTATTGATGTGATTATTAAACATATGATATAATTACCAAACAATTGCCAAATGCTTTTCCAAAATTCCTCCGCAAGTATTGCTTCAAAGATAAGTATCAGTGAAATATTCGCAACCCTTTCACCCATTTTCTCTACAGCTTTCCTCCTCTATATCTCTCCCAACGGTTCACATCATTACATCATTTGATTCTCTTTTTTCAAGAAATACTTTTTGATAATTAAATGTAAACTTGTTTTTGTCATTGCAATGAATGCATTCCTCATCGGTTTGTGGAGATGTTGTCTACATATTGAGTGCAAAAGTGTATAACGAGAGCATAAGTGAGAGAGCAGTTGACAAACCGTCTTGTAGTTGGCCATTATCTGACGTTTAGTGTTTCAAAGCAAACATATGTTTGAATTGAATGGCTTTAATTGAGCCGATGATTAATGCCATCGATATTTGTTTACAACACAGCATATGGTTGTGTGACAGCGATTGGGAGACCACCCCTCACAACACGTGTAGCGGTAGTGAACTGTAGTGTTGTGTGTGTTGTGCGGCATAACTGTGAGGGGCGGACACAAGTTGGGGACTTTTAAGGCGCGTACAGCGCATGCGCCACAACNGCCATCGATATTTGTTTACAACACAGCATATGGTTGTGTGACAGCGATTGGGAGACCACCCCTCACAACACGTGTAGCGGTAGTGAACTGTAGTGTTGTGTGTGTTGTGCGGCATAACTGTGAGGGGCGGACACAAGTTGGGGACTTTTAAGGCGCGTACAGCGCATGCGCCACAACAGGGCCGGCACGAGTGCACAGCCCCTCCCACTCACGGCTTGTGTTCCGGTTTTGTGAATGAATACTCCGTTTACGCGATTGGCTGAGGGTTTGTATTGACATTACGTAATGCCTGTTATTATGAATGAATGTTATATAATATGGTATTTATGCTGACAATGCATTTCACTCTCATATGTATTGTCTTTTCTATAGTTTATTTGATTATTTGATTTGTATTTATGTTTCAGTAATTTATTAATTATTTATTTCCATATTATTTTAACATTTGATTTATTGGCAGACAATTTGTCGATACCATTAAATGAGATAACGTTTGGTTTGACTTTTGATTATGAAAATTAGTTTATGAGTTATATTAATTCAATAGACATTTTTCATACTGTATATTAATTATCGTATATTTATTTGAGTATAAATTTGATTTAATGAAAACAATTGAATGTCTGAACGTTTTTATATATAATTAAATGACACGAAAATTAATGATAAAACTTAAAGACATGAAATGCAAAATAAAATCTTTGAAAACTTAAGTCAAATGTATGGCTAATTTCTAACTCGAACACAAAAAATCATTGAAGCTATTTATTGAATGCAAAACTTGCTATTAATATAACGATTCAATTAATTAATTGACACTTATTTTCAATGAAATATTCATTAAATACAATGTATTTCCAAAATCGATTGAATCGATAAGTATTGGATGACATTTCGGTCACAAATTATTGGTCCAATTGATGCCCTCGAAGAACGGATGTGTAGTGATCTCTTCGGGTCCGTGTCGGCCGAGACGTTCGTTAGGGTTGGGCTGTAATAACTGTTTGATTGGCAGACAAAACAAATTTAAGCAAAAATAACATTTATTTAAATTAAAGAAAACAATTACTTTATTTATGAGATCTTTCGCCTCCAATGATATGAAGACCGGGAAAAACAGAGACGTATGGCTTGTGATGCCATTTGGATAATAGGAAACCAATGACTATAGGAATTAAATCAATCACAACTTAGTTTATAAAAGTAGGGAAAAAACATTATGAAAAGCACTGACCCGTGCGGTCAAGAGCTCAAAGGCGATGACACCGAAGGACCACCAGTCGCACAAGTGGTTCACTTTTTCGGATTTAATGAGTTCTGGCGCCACATAGAGGTGCTCTCGAGCCCACTCGTCCATCACATGGAGTTGCGATTCGTTCCAAAAGCACTTATAAGACACACAGATGTTGTTGTCTTCGTTCAACAGTATGTTTTCGGGTTTGAGGTCACAATAAATGGCACCCAATTTGTGCAGATTCTGTAGACACCGGACAATCTGCGAGAGCCATACTTTAGCCTCCCATTCGGTGACCAGCGGTCGGTTCGAACAGCAGGGGTTACCGGAGGACGTGGTCGGGGAAGACGTGCCGTCCATCTGATGGAACACCTCTTCGATTGTTCGCGGAGTGAATTGGGATAAACTCATCTCCGACTTCGATGGCCGCAAATCCTGCGCCCGATTCACGATATTTGAGTTCTGATTAGTATTTTTGGCCATATATTTGGTAATATTCAACGTCTGGTCGACATTCTTGAGTATTCCGCGTGCTTTGGCCAACAGTCCAGTAATTCCTAAGCTTTCCATCGATGATTGTCTCTGAGGCGGTCGACCACCGCTCAGCCCCCGACGGCTTTTGGTTTTGCTTTCGGACAACTCGTACGGAGCGTACGCTTTGGACTCGTATTCAGTGATCGAATCGATGCTATCGATTGAATCGGAAATGTATCCCAACTTACAGTCGGCCAAAAGGCTATGGTTTTGGGGATACCGTTGCTGTTCGAGTGCATAGTTATTGCAAAGCGACAAATAGCTCTTCGACGGCACATCACAATCGATGGACTCAATACTGGCCAGACTTCCGGACGGCGAACACGAGTCCACGGAATCTGATTTACGCAACACTTGCTGTTCGCTGATTGTCTCAAATACGTTGCTATAGTGGGCACCGGAACCGTTGCCGTCCGTAAGTGAGCCGCACTCCGATCGAGTCCTAGAGATGCGTCGCCCGCTGTAAGCGTTGTCCGCAATGCGTTCGTAGTCGCGGTCATCGGTGGCGAACGTACAGTCAGGACACGGAGAGAAGGATTGCCGGGTGTTGTTGTTGTTGGCCGTAATCCTGTCCCACAGTTTGCCGCCCTTCGCGTACTCGAGGAGCAGAAACAGCGCGTATTCGGTCTTAAAAATGCGATAAATTTGAACCATAAATGGGATGTCATTCGGGAATATACTCTGGGCTAACGATAATGTATTGGTCGATAACAATGTCTGTGTGGATGAGACGGCGGTGTTTCGGCTGTCGATATGATTACTCGATTTGTAGATGACTTTAATAACGAAAATATTATTAGTGGTCGTGTCTAACACTATCTGCACCCGACGTGAGTCCACTCCAATCACTTTGAATTTCGACAACTCGTGCGATGAGCCGAACCAACTCTGGACGAGCGACGCGTTCAACGATTTAAACGGACTGTCCTATCAGTGCAACGATTAATCAATGGTATAAATGATAGGATTAGTGAAAACCAAATGGTATAATACAATGTCAAATGGACTTTGTTTTTGTGTAATTTTAATCATGCAATTCAAATGGCAATCAATTCTGAGGCCATACCGGCGCCCATCGACGGCTCGGTTGGAATGAATTGGTTTGCGACAGATATGTGTCGTATATCTCTTCAGCTTTCGTCAAATACTGGAATGTCTTTCGCCGAATGGAGGCCTTCTTCTCGGTGTCGGTTTCGTCGACCACTCCTTGCAATAGTATACCGACCGCACACTTATACGACTCGAACGCCGGCTCCCATTCCTCCGACTCTTCGTGTTGTTGTGCCTGACGTAAGATAATCGCCGCGTCTAAGAGATACGTGTCCGACACCGACGATGTGGGCGGCACTGCGTCTATCATCGGCACCACTGCCGGCGGTTCACTCATTGTTTGGCTCGGATTTAAGTTTTGATTCCCGTCGTCGTCAGCGACGGCAGTGTTGGTCGACGCGTCCGCTTCTGATGTGTCGTCCAAATCAAGTGAAATACTAAACTGTTTGCTGACTGTTATACTCGGAATGTCTTCAAATATAGTCTTATTTTCATCACTTTTGGGCATCAATTCGGCAAATGGTTCGGGAATATTGACATTCATATCGTTATCACAATTTTCTGGATGTGTCGGCGTTGACGGCAACTCATTGGATGGTTGACTATCACATGACTTAATGGCGTATAAAAACCAGTCCTTCGACTTATCATCACTGGATTGCGGCTCTTGTGGTGATTCAATGACGGGTGTGTTGTTGTCATCACTAGTTCTGGTCACCGAATCGGCCAATTCTGTGATCACTGTCTGAGCGTTGGTTACAATGTGTTGGGAAACGACCGGATTGTCGGCCGAGTCGTGAATCGGTGTGGAGTAGAAACTGCTGTCATCGCCGCTCATTGTGTCACCACTTCGTTGACTCCATTCATCGCTGGGACTAAGACTCGGTGTCATCGGTTGCGGCAGACCATCGGTGTCGCCATCGATGGGACTGTCGATCACGTCGTGATTGGCCACCGATGGCGTGAAATTGGTCACAGAGTTCTCGAAGAACTTGACGAATACAGTGCTCGTGAAAAGGGTCGGGTGTTTGGCCGCGAAGTCCAACAACTCGAGGGCCGACTGGCGTCGGGTCTCAATGACGGCGGCGTCGAAACGGCCGAAGACTTTGGCGTCAGGAAAGGCCGGAAACACTCCCTTCAAGTGCAACGATTGGTGCAAATGAGCCAAACTCTTGTGCAGTCGTTTGAACTCCGAGTACCGCTTGTGGGCCACGATTTCGGTGACGCCATCGACGGCCGACTTGTGGTATATCCGCGAAACCACTTTATAGACAGTGAATCCCTTGCGATGTCTTTGCGGTTCAATCACTTCAAACACCCGAACCCAGCCGTCAGTCGTCTGATCCCTATTCATGGCCGCACCGGTCGGTGGTCTGCAGTCGTCGGCACCGATACTGACCACACATTCAAAATGTTAGACAACTGGTTGTCGACACTTTCAAACACCCGAACCCAGCCGTCAGTCGTCTGATCCCTATTCATGGCCGCACCGGTCGGTGGTCTGCAGTCGTCGGCACCGATACTGACCACACATTCAAAATGTTAGACAACTGGTTGTCGACACAGAAGAAGTCACCGCTAAATCACATCTCATTTTTGTCGACAAAACATGTTTTTCAATGGCTTTTGACTTTCAATTCACTGCTTGTGTTGTATTGAGTGTTGAGTTGTGTTGTGTTTGAAGTGAACGCCCACTCAATCTCTAGAGTATACACTGTATTGAAAACTAATGCATAAATCATATGACACTTCTGAAGAAGTGGTTTCTCGTATTAGATAATTATCTCAAGGGTTTTTTCAGTTGCAATTTGTGTGTTATCTATGGTCTAGTTTTGTGTCATGTCTGACACACCTGTCATTTCTGGCGGTGATGGACCACAAATAGGTTATTGAGAGACATTACCCATATGTAGTGCAAGTGCCCAGGGTGGTCCTGTCTAATGTGTCACCCGCACGAGTTTAGTCTATAAGTAATTGTTTAGTTATCTTATGGCCAATAGTGATAGATTGGGATCAAAGTGTGACAACTAATTATCGACTTTGTTTTGTTTCATTGACTTTGGGTTTAAGTTATTAATGAATTCTTTAGCATTGAATTCACAAACCATTTGATACACAGAATCGAGTTATGAATAAATAAATTTCATTAAATTATGAAATTTGTTGTGAAATTGCATACAAATAACAATATTATTCATTAATATGTTTTATTTATTAGACATTTAGCTATAATTAGTTTCAAAAAATAAAATAAAATTATTCTCCAATGAGTAAATGGTTTTTGCAAATAATAATAACATATTTTATTGATTAGAAAAACTTTATAATTAAATAAATATATATTTATTTCTTAGAAAACTAATCAACAGATTTTGGAAATACATATTTAATTGTAATAAAAATATCTATGATTTTAACGGATTATTCACTGTTCCGGAGAAGAGAATCATGTTTTTCTTGGCCTCGTATTTGGACATCAAGAAGAAAGTGAACGGACGGTTAGCTTCAAACGTCTCCGGCATTGAACGAGACATAAAGCCAACGCCTATTCAATTCATTACACATTATTAGAGAGAGAGAACACTAAG